TGAATTTTAAATACACCTCCAAGAGTTTGAATAGTTTTATCTATCTCTTCAATGGCAGTTTGTAAAGCTTTTAAACCATCAGTTTTTTCAGGTGTAGCAGTGGTCATTACTAAATAAATAAAAATTATGAATATATGAATTATGTAWAAACTATAAATCAATTTTTGTATTTTTCAAGTAGTAGTTATATACAACATGTTAATAATGAATTAAAAATAATGTGAGTAAATAAAATTATGCACATTGATAAAATTAGTTTGTGTTAACTTTGTAATTATTAGTTCAAATATTAAATATTTGCTTATGTATAAATAACAAATAAATATTTACCATATAGTGGTGGGGCAATTAGATTGATCTTAATAGGAAGCTCCTCTGTCGAACAAGCAAGACCAGCTTTTAAAGCTGTCTTAACAGCATCAATTCCTTCATATCCATAACATGCAACTTCAATATCAGCTCTTATTTTTACGGCTTGAGAAGTTAATTTACGTTTAATATTATTAAGCAATACATTTTGAGTGTTCTCATCTAACCCACATTCAGCTAATATAGATGGATCCCTAAAATAATTAAAATATTAAAAAATAACTTATTACATGTAAAATATTAAAAAATAACTTATTACATGTAAAATAAAAATAAATGACAATTTTAATAAAAATTTAACTAAACTAACTTCTAAAAAAAAATTAAGAGAAACAGTTTCTATATACATCACAGAATAGTACTGTRCAATATTACCAAACTCCCAAAATCGCAATAACAGCACTCATATTTTGTAAACTCATTATCATTAGTACTCAAAGTTAAATAACTCAAAGATGACATATTTGAATTTTGATTTTGATATGTCAAAATATTCAAAAAAATAATACACTTAATACTTTATAGTGGAAAAGAGAAGTTATAATTAATAAATCYACGGGAAACTTCTTAAGTAGCACAAATAATCACAAACATTTGAAAATATTGAATTAAAGTATAGGCATCTAAAAATTCAAAACATCATACATTGAATAACTAGATTATTGAAGAAAAAAAGTGAGCAAACTTGGTGAATCAATTTAAATTAAATAATAACAATKAACTAAAAATCAAAAAAAATATATACAGAAAAAACTTACTGAACAGCTTGTTTGAAAAAATCATAAGCCGAAGACTTCTTTTTAGTTCTTTCCTCGTAAAACCAAGCTGTTTTATGATATAGCTCTTCAAATTGTGCATCAGATTCAAAGTTTAAAAGTTCTGCAACGTGCCGTAAAATAGAATTAACAGCTTTTGCTTTAGCAAATCTTTCAGTACACTTTTCTATATCTTCAGGAGAAACTCTTCTTTTACTCAAATCAATATAACCTGTAATATACATAATTCGAGAGTATTAAATARTTGTATAAAGAAGTATCCAAACAAATTAAAAATATTATYCTACCTTTTTCTTTGTCTACACGAATAACAACTACAGGTTCAGTCTTGCCGATGCGAATCAATTTGTTGATAGAACGAATACGTCGCCTGGACAATTCTGATAACAATATCATACCCTCAATATTGTTGTATTCCAGAAGATGTACATAGGCACCCATCTCTTCAATACTACGGACGTTGACCATGACGACATCGTCAATTTCAGGATAACGTTCGGCATAAAACCGACACGACAACGGCATTTTAATCTAATAACAGAAACTTGATATTAAAACTTGCCTTTGATTTAGTGTAAACATACACATAATCCAAATCAGACTGCATACTTATTTAATGTAGAAAAACATACAAGAGACTTATAAACGTATATTATAAGTCTACTAAAAGTAAATGTTCTATTATTATTTATTTATACAAGATAAAATTGCCCCACATCAAGGGGAAAAAAGGAAATTTAAATAAAATAAATACCTGAAGTGTATTCCCGATTCCTGACGCAATCACAAAAAGATTAAATTCTAAAAACATAACCTCACACAATCGCTATGGTCATAGTATCACGTGATATGTGTTCCGT